ACTCAATGCTCCAATGAGGAAGTAGCCTTTGAGGCTATATTCTGATGACAAGATGATGAGAGGAAATTGAACGAGGATATGTTCAAGTTTATACAAAAAAAAAAAAAAATTGATTTAATGATCACCGAAAGATTAAAATATAATTATGAAAGTAATTTTCCATGCGTTTATATATTTTGTGCACCAATTTTTTAAATTAATTAATATGTCATATATGATAATAAAACACTAGTTTCCAGATATGTCTAATTGCGTATTTTTTTGGCCATTACTATATTAACATCAATCTCCTTGAGGGAGTAAGTTTTTCCTCCGTTTTCCACGTGGCATTGACTCTCAGTGGATAACGCTCCTCGGTTAAGAAGGAAAGGGACCTTACCTACGTATTAGCAAAGCCTCTCAGCACTGACAACCACATGACATCAACCCAACAATGTATAATAGATCCAAAATAAATAGATCATCTTTAGTCCATTCCACCTCTCATTAGATCGATCCACTATGAACAACCTTCAGAAAAAAATCAGATCCACTATGAACTCGTTTATAAAACCCAATATTTTGAATATATGATCCCAATCAAAGTAATGTTAATCATAAAATCAAATATTGGCTATGGTATTCAATTTAAAAAGTTCGAGCAGGTATTCTGTTGATTGAAATTTGAATTTTGTAAAAAATTAGATTTAAATAATCTTCTTTTAATGATACTCGGAGTGTATGATTTACAAAATAAATATGAAAGGGATCTAAGGAAAAAAAGAGTGTTTACTTGAAAGTATTATATTATTACGTATGATAAAAGTATCTTAATTAAATATTGTATTTAAGCTTGAGATTCAGCTTTGGAATTCTCAAATATTTAATAAAAGCTTTACAATAATCGCTTTATTTCTGATTTGTCTCTTGTAAACAACACAAAAGGAGAATCAGATTTTTATATCTATCATGAACTAGAGATACAAACACAAAAATTAAGGCCATGTTTGATTGTGATCTATTTTTTTTTTCTTAAAATTATTTTATAGAATAGTTAATAAAATAGGTATTTTCTGTATTTTTTAATTTTGAAAATTAAAAACCAAAACAGAAAACATAATTAACTCAAATATATTCTCTAAATTTGATTCTAAAAAATAAAAAATAATTATAATTTTTAAAAATATTTTTATAAAATAGGTCTTATCAAACAAGTGTTTTTTTTTTCTTCTAAAAATCAAAAAAATACTTTTTAAAAGAAAATTCAAACGTGCCCTAAATTTGACTCAACCTGCAAGTTGGCAAAATTTCGTACTAAATACTCATAGTAAGCAAGAAGGTGGATTTGGGGATGGAGCTATTCAGAGGGGAATATGAACTTGGCACCGACACATCACGTGAAATGGCAGTTTTAACTTTTAATGGCTGTCCCCTCTTTCCTATGACAAGCTATAGCGTCCGGAAAAAGCTCCATCTCACGTCATGCCCTACCACTAGAAAAATATTTACAGTGCTGTAAAATATGAAAATATATATATTTATAGGGTTTTATTAGTGTTATGTTACATGATTTAAATGTTATTTTTAACACACATACAAAAATGGAAAGAGAAAGTGGAATGATAAAAGAGAAAGAAAAATATGTGGACCCCATCTCTTTAATGTGTGTGTAGGAAAGTGATGTTATATCATGTTACATGATAAACATAAAACCCATATTTATATTAACTCTACCTTTACAATTATTTTCACCCATATATATTGACTTCTTTTGGAAGGGAGTAAATATTCTCTATATCTATGAAGTATCGACACTTCAAAAACTTTAACATGTCATGTTTGATATTTTTCGACACTCCAACACATGTTGTAGAGATTCAAAAAAAATTCAAAGATTGCATTGCGTTGCATTTTTAGTTTTAACTATTAGATTCGTTGGATTACGATTACCATTTCACTGAGTTTAATATAAACATTTGTGATATCGTATGTTTCTTTACAAAAATGATGAGTAATATAGTTTAGCTTCATTTTTTATTACATTATTAAGTATTAAATACAATATATATTATATAAATTAAAAATAATATTTAATATCAAAACATATCCTAACATATCAAGATTTAATATTTTTTAAAATTAACAAATCAAAATATCATATTTCATATCCCACATTGATATCAGTGCTAGTAATCATATTCTACATATTGCAAATGCTAACCTTTAAGGAACAGTGACCATTTTGTCACGTTTGGACAAAAAAATTACCAGATTGCCACGCCAACAGTAAATATTGCCAAACTGCCACGCGGCATAATTCGCTACACAGTGTAGCGAATTATGCATGCAAGTAATTCGCTACACAGTGTAGCGAAATATGCCACGTCAGAACCAAAAAGTGCCATGTGTCAAAATTGTTGAAATTCGCTACCTAGCGAATTTCAACAATTTTGACACATGGCACTTTTTGGTTCTGACGTGGCATATTTCGCTACACTGTGTAGCGAATTACTTGCATGCATAATTCGCTATACTATGCCGCGTGGCAGTTTAGAAAATTTTACTGTTCGCGTGACATTCTGATAATTTTTTTGTTAAAGCGTGATATTTTTGGTCAATGTCCCAACCTTTCAAACAGAGAGAAAACTAGGGCAGGTGTCAAGTTGCCAGATGCCAACTTCTAGGACGGCAATATGTGATAATTTAGATGTAATAGCGAGTTATGAACTACTGTACTCAACCTAATATTTTTCCGCATGTAAATCAAACGCTCAATAAACAAGTTTATTTTCTTGGTCAACACGTCGATTCGTCGAGACTTGAAAATTTTATAGGTTGACCTTTATAATGGTTCGGTTGACTAATTTGGGTTGGGCGGCTAAGATATTTGGTGGCTTAAAACAAAATTATAAATGAGGTTTTTTTTTATATATTATACATAATATAATATTTGTATTTAAAAAAAATTACTAATTTTTTTAAAAAATAATATAAACTATTAAAAAGATCTTCGCTCAATACCTTCAAGTTTTGAATTGAGATGATTCTTTACATAGAATCAAAATTTTAGTGACCATAAGATCACGAGTTCGATCCTCATTACCTCCACTTTCTAATGAAATTAAATAAGCACAAGGTAAAATAAAAAATTGGACTTGAGACTTCAAACTCAAAGGGCTCTTACATGAGGAATGAGGGAGTATTTTAAAGAATAATATAAACTATTAGAAAGACACTCACTCAACATATTAAAATTTTGGGTTGAAATGATTCTTTACAGTTTTTATAATTAAATTATTTGTTTACTGGCTAATTTTAGATATAAAATTAAATTATTTTAGAGTAAAAAAAGTGCTATATCTACTTTGAGGAAAAAAAGAATTATATTAATTGAAAAAGCAAATTTTACAAGGGGGAAAAGAATTGCCATGAGAATAAAAAAAATGAAAAGTGGGATGAAATACAGATTTACTATTAGGGGTGTTCATGAACCGATCCAAACCGATTCAAACCGCGGTAACCGAACTGAAAAACCGATAATCGAATAAATCGAAAATCGAAAAATCCAAAACCGAAAAAAAAAACCGCAAATTTTAATTGGATTGGATCGGTTTTCGGATGGGTTGATGAAAACCGATCCAATCCAAACCGATCCAATATATTAATTTTCTTCTACCGACTCGGACTTTTCTCCAATCATAACCAAAAATTTCTAAACCCAAGACCTATTAACCCATCAACTACACCCAAGAAAAAACATAATCACATCTTATCAACAAAATTTCATCTGTGTAGAGCTTCATATTTCATTGTAAAAAATAAAAAACTATATTATCGTTTAGTGATGTTTTTGTATTTTTTAAAAAAATGTACAAAGCCAAATCCAATATATACAAAAGATGTTATTTGTACAATATCATGAAATAAATTTTAGGATTTTCAAAAAACTGAAAACTGATCCAATCCAATCCAAACCGAAAAAAATTGGATTGGATCGGATTGGATTTGAAAAAAAATCCAAACCGAATGGATGATTAAATGATCAAACCGAAGGTATTGGATCAAATGATTTTTGCTTTCAAAATCGATCCAATCTAGACCGCGAACATCCCTATTTACTATGAATTTTAATTAGAGACCTAAGAGAATATATGCTTTATCTGAATATTTTATTAATTATATTTAATTTTAAATATAATTTATAATTAATGTAATTATAAAAGTATGGGCTACAAATTAGCGAGCTGAAGCAAATATCCTTGGCTTTAGGAGAATGACATTTACACACCAAAAGATTTACACTTTCTTTTACATTTCTCTATTTTGGGAAGGGAAAAATAAAGAGAAAATATGTTAAAATGTATATTTTTTATTTTATTAGTTAAAAAGAAAGTAATTTAAGAATGGTGTAAGAAAAGTAGTGTATGAATATTAATTTTACCCACTACCCGGTCATGACTAACAGTATCAAATAATAATAATAATAATAATAATAATAATAATAATAAAGAGGTTTTTGGATTCGATTCTTGTTTGCGAGTGCATACTCTAACCTTCAAATAGGAGAACCTGTTATTGTCTTGAATTCTTTTTTTAATACAAACGAAAAGAGGGTGAATTCAGGGGTGAAGGTCTAAAGTAGAAGCCACGTAAACAAAGTTTTTGTGCTGTTCCTCCCAAGAAAGAACAACTCATCCAATGCAATGAATATAGCAAGTTGGCAATAAATCAACATGCAATGCAACATTTATGTCTATCATATATAGCAGACAAAATGATAATTTAACTCTATGGAATTTATAAAGCCAAAAGGCACGCGGCTTCCTCACAATATGCCAATACCAAAACCACTAACCAGCTGTCTCACCGCTTGCAATTTTGATACTAAAGGATTTTACTTTAGCTAAGGAGTAATAAATTCTCACTTTAACATATTCCTACCTTTCAGCTACCCTTCATTCTTTGCTATAAATAACCCCATTCTCTGGTTCACACCCCCACAACTCATCCTAATTATAAGTCTCAGTGTCCTTCCTCGGCTTCTCTGAGTATCACTCTAATTACCATACCTCTTACAACTTGATATCGTTCTCCTGCCTCTACAATCTGAAGATGAAGCCAGTATTTGCAACTATGCTACTTTTGTGCCTTGTCCTCAGCTCCTCTTTGTTTGAAGTGTCAATGGCTGGTTCTGGTAAGCCATAAGCCCAATTATTAGTAGTAGTATTACTTCTTTTATAGCCTACCATTTTATAAGTTTTTGTTTCAAACAATATTGTTAGTTTGGTACCACTGATTAATTATATTTATAAACGCTAGTTTTTTTCTTTTTTTTGTGCTGATTAACATTAACTGATGTTATGCACGATTCTGGATATATAGATTCAGGTTTATGTTCCTCTAAGTGCGCGAGGAGGTGCTCTAAAGCTGGCCTGAAGTATAGATGCCTGAAGTTCTGTGGGATCTGCTGCAATAAGTGTAAATGTGTGCCATCCGGGACTTATGGGAACAAGCATGAGTGTCCTTGTTACAGGGACTTGAAGAACTCCAAGGGCAAGCCAAAATGCCCTTAAATCTTTGATTTCACTACTGGCATGCATGTATCTCCATCTTATGAGAAATTCCACCGAAAACTCTTGCTAGCTAATTAAGTTTATGTTTATGTATTATATATAGAGAGATGGGAATAAATAGGGGTCCTCTTTGCCCTTATGTGTATGTGGAGTGCCTTAATTAGTTTCTGTGGTTAGTTAATAAAAGCAATGCTTTGATTCTCGTCAATGTATTTGTTTGTAAATTGTAACCTTCTTCACTTAATTTGTAATGAATAATTTTTTTGTTTATGATCAGCTTAAAGAAATTGGTTATTTATGTATAAGAAAAGCGTCATTAGGCAGCTGGTAAAGCTTCTCCTGTGGACAAATGAAATTCGAGCTCTTCGATTGAAATGCATTCTATATTTATTTAGAAAGAAAAAAATATTTAGGATGAGAAAAGTTCTCATCTGTTCAGAGTGTAATTTATTGAAATTTTATAATGAAATTATATTTTACAAATGTTTCTTATTATTTATAAGTGAGACTTGTAAAGTATTTTAATTGTGTCAATTTTTACAATCCGCACACGACCAGTTCCTGACCGCGGGCCATACGACATAGCTGATTTGTGAAGGGGAAGCTAAAATCGAAATAAAGCTCACCCATACGGGCCATACCCACCCCACCCAATATTCAAATTGGTGTAGAGCTATCAGCTATGATGCACGTGCGATCCGGTACGTAGTGTTTAGGTATACAAAAATAAGATACTTTTTACCAAAATAAAATAAAATAAATAAATAAGATACTGGGGTGATAATAATATACTAAATGATTACTATAAAAGTCTTCACACTTATTGTGTATTAATTGACACTTAAAATAAAATGCATATTTAAATTAACTTATTTCATATGAGAAAAAACTTTTACTAACTTTTTTAACAATTATTTCAATACAAAAAATTTCGTCTTCACTTTTATTTATTTATTTATTTTTGTTTTTTTTTTTAATTTTATTTTCTTACATCCAACAGCTAATAAAACTCATGCAAGCAACGTTTCGATCAGGACCTAGTAGTAGTCAGTCGACACGATATGATATAATTTTAAAATGTCAAGACATATTTTTATATTAAATAATATTTTCAAATATTTTTTTGAATTTCTACAATTCATCTTGAGATGTCAAAAGAGTATTAAAAAATTCGGATACTCCACTTAGGGGGTACGATATATTTTTTAGGATTCTCGAAAAATTGAGAGTGTTAATTATATTTATTCATGTTTGGCACAAGTTTTTTAAAAAAAATTCGGTAATTTGATTTTCTCAAAATTTTATTGTGTGTAAATTTTTTTAAAAATATCATTCAGGAATACCATCCAGGATGTGGTATTCTAGGATTTTTATGGCAAGAAAAAATTTAATACAACTAAATATAGCATTAAGAAAATTAACTATAGCATTAAGAAAATTAACCCAATATTCTCAGAAATATTTTAGTCTACCAAACACTTTTTTGCTAACATTTCTAGAAAACTCATCCTCCTATCATATTCTTAAAAATTGTAATTCTCACGTAAGAAAAAAAAATTTATCTACCAAACGCTCCATTAAAAATTTGTGTCACTCCATCATAGGCAGTGAATAGCTGTCGCAGTGTGGCGTACACCACAAAAAAAATGTCAAAAATCGTGTAGTCAATCACAGATCTTTACTAGTTTGGTACATAGGATCGTTAATAAAGTATTAATTGATTAATTCGTCGTTTAAGGAGCACGGACGGATCTATATGGGAGCAAGCTCACGTGCTCTGTACTATAGACTACGTAAATGAATGGACGCAGCTTTATGTTTCGTCTCGTTTCGTTGGGTTTCTCTTGTTTATTTTTTTGGAAAAATATTTTTTTATATTGAAGATATTTTATCTTACCTCATAAAAATAAAAATATAAGCTCATATTTTATTAAAAATAAATAAATAAAAAATAAAGTAATCCACATATTTGTTTCTATAATATGAGAAAAAATATTTCTAATCATATGAGATTAATAAGTCTCATTTTTTTATAGTAAAAATATTTATCATTTAAAGAATATAATTTTATATCTTTTTTTGTGAGGAATTTTATTTCATTTTTTTTGGTAAACAAATTTTATATCATTTTAATTGAAAAGATCATGTTTTTATATATATTTATTAATTTTTTATATTTTTTTCTTCCATAATACTTTATCTTTCTCTCTCTCCTCTTGATTTTGTAGAGAAAAGAAAGTATAAAAAACCAACAAATATGTACCAAAACACGATTATTTACTTTTCTTTTCTTGTTTTTGGTATCCTAACACGGTTGTTTTACTTAATGACACAATGTTGTGTCATTTAAATTCATTTTTTATTTTATAAATGTTTAACATCAATAAACATTTTAATGAAACTATTATTTTGACATAAAAATATATTTTTTGTATATAAATAAGTCATCAGATTTATTCAATCTTACATATTGAGATTTTATTTTTGAGAGTAAGATATTATTTCAAAATAAAAAAAAAATCATTTTCACTCCTCTTATTTACCATTGTGATCCGATGTGATCAAAGAAGTGCATCATTTATTCTATGTGTTTCAAGCTCATCACTTACTTGTGGATAGAGAGGCACTAACTGTAACATCCCAATGACTGGCAAGGGCTGAGAGTGATTGTCGGTACAAAAGAGGCAAGAATAATGAGCGACCCATGCCAAATCTTGCGGGTGGGGTACGTGAATGAATCGAATCAACACCCGAAAGAGAGAAATTTCAAAGACTGTGCAAGTATGAGACTATACAATTGGGGATAGTTTATATTAATTGGTATTACATATGCTAACAAGATGCATATATTTTTCGGTAGCCCGGAACAGAAGAACTCTATAGTTAAGTGTGCTTAACTTTTTTACCAAAAAATAAAAAATAAAGTGTTCTTAACTTGGAGCAATTCTGATATGGGTAACTTCCTGAGAAGTTTTCCCAGTAAGTGTGTCAATGAGGACAAAGCAAGTTAAAAAGTCTCGTGTTAATTTGTGGGGACGGTCATTGATCCTTGAAGCGGCTAGGCGTTTCTATTGGTATCAGAGCAGGGCCTCTCTTCTAATACGGTGTGGTTCGAGGACGAACTAGGTGGAAGCTAGTTGGAATGTAATATCCCAAGGGCTGGCAAGAAGTAATCGTCAGTGCAAAGAGACACAGACAATATTGACCTTGAAGCGGCCGCGCGTTACAATAACCCACCTCGCCTCCAACCCATCCCGAGATGTCAACCCACTCTGCGTGGCCCAATTTTGAAAATGGATTAAAAATCTCAACTCATCTCATCCTGCCTTCAACTCGCCTATATATTAAATTTGGCAAAGAAAATTGCAAAAATTTGTAAAAGAGTCAATGGCTAATATTTTATTTAAAATCAATTGTTTTGACTTGCACTTATGCAAAATAGACCTAAATGGGCTGATAATTCCAACCCAACCCACTATACTTAGTTAAACGGATTAACCCGACAAGTTGTTTGACACCTGTAATTATAAATACAAAAATGTATAAGTTAGACCATGTCGTCCTATACATATATATTTGTTTGTTTTACTTAATTTTTATCCTTATTATGTTATTATCAAAATAAATTATACTACAATTAAATATTAAATATTAAATTAAAATATCTAAAATTATTTCAATAAAAATAGTTTGAAAATTATCGAAAAGAATTATTTATTTAAAAGTTATTTAAAAAACATTATTTAAGATAATTAAAATTTATTATCTTAAAATTATATCCAAGCTAAATTTAAACAATTTTTTAAAATTTACTTTAATTATTAATATTATAATAACATAAAATAAAATTAGGATAAAAAAACAATGTTATAGTAATATTTTTAAGATGAAAATATGGAAAAGCGAACTTTTTAAATTTATTTTGTTAAATTTAAAGAAATGTTTATTTTTAAATTTACTTCAATTAGTAATATCATAATAACAAAAAAAAATAGGAGAAAAATAATGTTACAATAACATTTTTAAGATAACAATATGGAAAGGCAAACTTTTCATATTTATTTTTAGATTTATTTTACTTAAATATATTTTTAAGATAATACACTTTTAATTTCTCTTAATATTTTAAATTTCAACATTGTTTTAAAATAAATAATTTTATATAATTTTTATTTTAATCATTAATGCATAATTATACTGTAACTTTAATTGACTATTTTAATAATATAGGACAAAAATTAGGGGGGAAATTATATGTATAAGACCGTAATGCATGTAAGTGATACGTTTGTCCAATCATAGTGGGTCTAAATAATGAGTTTGAACAAAAAGGGATTTAAGTGATGCATTTCTATAACCATAATGGATTTAAGCGATCCATCACATAATAACAAGAGATGAAATTGGAGTAGCTTAATCTCTTTGTTTATTCTTCCTTAAAAAAAATGACATGTGTTATTCTTAATCTATTTCCTTTTATATTTTAAATTTAAATTATTTTAAAATTAATTATACATACATTTTATATTCTTAAATCATTTTTTTATTGAGTCAAATGAAAAGAAGATTGGCTCAATAAAAAAAGAATTTATGGCTTACCAAAAAAAAAGAATTTATGATTTTTTTTTCAGTGGAATACTAGAGGGACAACGAGCTTATCAAGTAAATCTGGATTGTAACTATCTAAACAAATTATAAATGGCTTTAACAAGATGTACGAAAGAACGCGATTGGAAGCAGTTAAATTAATGGGGTTTATGATTATTATGTTACATAATCCAACTTGATTTTTCTATTCACACAATAAAAAAGAGAGAGAAAGTGAAATGATGAAAGAGAAAGAAAAAAATGTGGACCCCACATCTTTGATGTGTGTGTAGAAAAATGAAATTAGATTATGTCACATGATAAACATAAAGCTCTAAATTAATTTCAGATGTAGCGGTTAATATATATGTCTGAATTCTGAAATCGTATTTTGTTGGGCCAATCCGACAAAACATTACAGTTCGAACAAGTGTGTTCGAATTGGTCTGATAAGCTAAATAATGTCTACTGTCCTGATTTTTGACTTGACAGCTTATTGTCAAGCCCAATCAACATTTTTAGTCTTACACGTATTGTTTACTTTTTTTAAAATAAAAACAAATATATAATTTAGTACTTTATGATCATTTTTAATTTAGTTCTCTTCATCTATTAGTTTTAGGGAATTGTTTTTGTTATGTTATATAATATAAAAGCAAATTTTCTACTCTCACAAAAGGAAGAGAGAGGAGAGAAAATAGGAAAAACAGAAAAAATTTAAAGTGAGTCCCATATAAAATTTGTGTGTGTAGGAAAATGAGTTTATGTTATGTAACATAATAAAAACAATTCCCTTAGTTTTATAACATAAGTTATAATACAATAAATATAAAACTCAAATTAATTTTATTGAACCTGCAGGAATAACTTTACTTAATATATATTACAAAATATGATTGGAGAGATAATAAATTAATTTTAATTATTTTTTGGTAAATAATTAGTTCTTTTCTATAATGGTTATTTTCTCCATACAGCCACCATATTGTAAATATTATTTACAGTCTTGTAAAAAGAAAATATTGTTACTTAAAAATATAAAGTTAAAGTAGAGAGAGATTGACTCTTTCAATTTTGAAATATAAAAGTAGAACGGAATTATTAGAACTTTCAATTAATTTTTTTTTATTTTTTTTGGTTTTACATGATCATGTGGAAAATCTCAGCCAGATTAACAGTTAAAATTTTGAAGAAGAAATTTGTAAAAAGAAAAAATGAAAAATGTCACTTTAATTGCTGAATATTGATATATGAATGTATGGCTAAAATCTTCCACACACGAGATGATTCATTTCTATTTTTCCGTTGTGTATGAATTTGTTGACTCAATTTCTACTAAAACTAAAAGAACATCACTTGGAAAGAAATATAAGCCCAAAGAAGGAAGAGCACTACTATGTAAAACTAGATGAATTTTGAATATAACATAGACAGAAAGGAAGAAATCTAACGAGAGATACTATTTAATTTATTAATTTTATCAACGCAGCAACAGCTCATGCCACCCACTGAGAAAAATAATATAAATGAATAGATAAAAATTAAAGAAGCATTATAAATAAATGAAGGCAACTTTAATCATTTGAAATCAGTTCACTGAATGGAACCTGGTATTTACATAATCATATTTTCTACATCATTTTTAGATAAATCCAATTGAAGAATATCTTCGGTGTTATGGATGTATCGAGTTTTCGGTGTATTTTTCACTCATAATGTGACATCTTATATTTTGTCAAATTATTTTTTCACCTTATTTTAAAATAAATTATTTATTAATAATTTGACAAAATTAAGATATATATCACATTGTGAGTGGAAAAACACACCGAAAATTGAGTGCATCCATATCATCAAAGAAATTTTCTTCCAATTCCTACATAGATTGATTCAACTCCTGCAAAGGGTCCAACACGTGTGTCATCCCTGTACAGGAAACCAATTTTCATGTAGGATCTTGATGTCAATGAATGATTGAAAAAAGAAATGATATACAATACTCGTTTTCCTAACTGAATTGACCTTGAAGTTTAAGCAAGCCAAGAACTCTAAGCCAAGCGATAGTATAAACTGACTTTTTTGTGTAAATTGAAATTTAAGCAACTTCATATGTCTGATATCACAGTAAAACATTCATGATCTATGAAACAAGCTATGCCTGCAAATTAGTACTTTCAATTACGTTCCCTGGCATTGACAGGTATAGTTTGTAAGTAAGGCTTGGAAATGGCGATGCATGATCATCTAGTTATTTTATATCTGGGTGGGTCACCGTGTTGTTACTTGCTTATATTAAACTCCTATTTCCATTTGAAACTTCAAAGTCAATCTAATATATCAATGTATCCACACATGATTTATGAACCTTGGATGTTTGGCATAGAACTGCATTTGAGGATAGTTAGGCATCAGTGAAACCAACTTTCGGCTTAATATAATTCCTTCAAATGAATGTGAACAATGTTTATATAAGTTCTGTATCATTCACACTTCTCCCAATATGACCGTACAGTTTACATTACAAACCTTTTTGCTTATTCTGGAGAAGAGATAATAGGTCCTAGTGGTATCGACTGACTTTCAAATAAGGACACAGAGTCTTCAAAATGAGAAAATATATGGGAGCCTTGTCGGCAGGTTGGTTAAATACCAGAACATTATTTAGCATCTTTGTAGAGTTTTGTTAAAAAGTCCAGAGATTCAAATGTAGCTGAAAATTGAATTAGACAAAGATGCAGAAATGAGGAGATGATGATGATAATAAAAATGTTCCAAAGAAAGAAATGAGACAATAAGCATGAATTCTACAGCTGACAAGAACTCAAAGAATAAACAAACAGTCTGAAACATTGTGCTAATTATACTGTCAAAGTAACATGGCAATTTTTTAAGATCAATCTTTCAAGTCAAGAAGTAATAAAAAAATTGCCAGTTATTGCTGCTAAGATGAACTCAAGAGTCAAAATCATGGTAACTCATTCCCCTGCAGCTCGATGGAAAAATAGAAAGCCTTGGGAATACATTTGAGCTACGGATAGAATAGCACACACTCACACTCTTCAAGCAACCTACTTCCAATTTCTAATTTCATCTCAAATTTCCTCCACCATACACATGATCTTCCACATCAATATCACTGCATATTGGCAAGCCTAACTATGGAATAATCTTCTTACTTTGTGAATAAGCCTTCGGCATACGGGACACACTTTGCTCTCCCCATCAACGATCCTGCAAAATGCACTCTAATGAGAATCTGAGAATTTTCACTAAGGTAAAGTGTATGAAAATCTTCTTCAGTGTATACCTCTGTGCACAGTCATAGCAAGTGGCACAATGGCCACAAGGAACAAAGAAGCAGTTGCGTTGTTCATCATAACAAATGATACATAATTTTTCATCATATAACTCATCTGAAGAGCTACTGGACACATCCGATTCTTCATCACGATTTTCGTTTGTTCCATATGTCATTGGATTCGGCTTCAAATGCGTCATGGCCTCATTTTCAGTTATCTCTTGTGCTGCAACTACATTACTTGTTTCGTATGTCTCCACATTAGTATTGTGATCATCAACATCACGCACTCCAAGGCATCTCAGTATCAGGAAAATAACAATCATAAAAAGTCCTTCAAATTGAAAAACATGGAAGCTTTAGTCACAGATAGAGTTAAACCAACGCTTCACAAGACTAAATTTAAATTCAAAGTACCTAAAACAGCTACGTAGGCTATTACACGAGCTATAAAAGAAACTTCAACATACCATTCGTCATCATCTCCCTGTATTCAATTCATATGAACAATATTGAATTACTTCGGAGAAATCCATAAGATTATAAGAACAATTCCAGAAAGATATATGAGTCAGACAAGGCTAGTAAATTAGTAAGCCTTACAATTTTTGGTGCCGTTAGAATTACATAATAGGTGTTCGGGAAGAGAAGACTAAGTCTGCACGATCCATTCGCAGCAGAGCACATCTTTTTGGCTTTGGTGGTATCATATACCTTTGCCGAAACATTAACATTCATGGTCAATATTATGCTCCTGGCATTCATGTTTAGAACCCCAATGTGGTACCCATCATCTTCCTCAACAATGTATTCAGCTTCTTTACCTGGCAATGTCCATAATAGTAATATCAAAACATTTGTAACAAACTACTGTCTCTATTAGAATTTTACGATACTTAGCCATAAGCAACCATAGATACTAAATAGAAGTGGAAATTAATAAGAATAAAAGATGGTCCCAAACTTGTTGCTAATGCAGAGAGTCTCAATATTTCTTATATCAATAGCTTGGAAATCAATTACCATCTACAGACTCACGACCAGCAACTGCATCAAGGAAGAACGTTTCTTTAGGCTTTAGTTTTTCAAACTTCCTTTCTCCTATGAAACAAGAATGAATCTTTCGTGAGATATTTCTAAAATCCTTACTCAGTCGGAGGGAATATGCATGTACAGAGTAAAGAATACAAATAAAAAGACATGAGTTTTCCATTGAACTAACCTTTAATCACTATCCCTTCAAGTTGATTTATACTACTGGCTGGTGCTTCCCACCTCATTCGAATGGTGGAGCCTTTATTTAACCACAAAGAAATTCCCTAGAGATGAAAATTCAACATCTTCATGTTCAGGCACTTTTTGAGTGATGTGCAATGAGCTATTATTAATATTAACACCTCATAGACAAGTAAAAAATTTAGTAGTGTTTGTTTTACCTTCCGACTGTATGCTCCAACAACTAGGAATTTTGATGCACTCCAATTTGTTTGGGAGCTTAACTCAGGCTTCTTATTGAAAGCATAGAGCAGAACACCATTATTATACTCATTTGTTACTTCAACCTGCTCCACAAAAACTGAACTCGCCTTCATCAAACGGGATGAGCTTGGACCAAGCACAAGGCGAGTATCCCCGTAAAACCCATACAGGAGACTGGCTGAAACTGAATATATAAGATGAAAAAAAAAAAAAAATGGCATGATTCAGCAGGAGGAATCAAGTGAGAGACACAACCATAAGATGATGAAAAATTACATGCCACAAATATAAAGGGTCATAGGGGCCAGAATGCACGCCAATGTGTCTTGCAATCGCTGAGAGCGGCTATGAGTTGGATGCATCAAAGGCTGATATGGTGTAGGATTGGGCAACCATAGTGTCCTCCGCATGTCTTCTTTGTTGTCACTCAGAAAACACAGTTTCAGTGAGTGTGTCGGAGAGACGAAAATAGATTGAAAGAAGAGGAAGAAGAGAAGACTGGTAGGTTCTTCTACTGTGTGTGTCTGATTCCTACCCTTCTATCTAGTACACTAACCAACTGTCAATTGGAGTGACAGAACCAGAATTTTGTTGGGTGGGGGGCGAAAATAAAAAGTTTTATATTATAAATAAAAATAAGGGTAAAGCTACCGTCATGTAACATGATCTAAACAATTTTTTCTACTCAAACAAAAATGCATGTGGGTCCCATACATGTAATAAAAATAAAAAATGCTGGTGCAGAATCCAACGGATCAGTAGGTAAAAATTTTTACATCATGTTACATATTATTATTTTTTCCCTAAAAATAAATACAATAAAAGATGAACCTAATATAAAAAAGTTTAAAAGAATTTTATTACAGGATTCAAAGTTAGTTCTCTTATTAAATCTTGCCCTGGTACGTATTTTTATATTGTTAAACTTTTTTACTAATTGAATTTATACTAAAATTCAAAACAATTTATTTTTTAATATATATAATTAAAGAATTATCAAGAAATTAGTTATCCTCAAGTTACGTTTGGACAAACAAATTATGGAAAAAGAAAATAACTCGTAAAACCAATCCTTAATTTCAATAAACACCATATTAAGTGACAGGAGAACTAGGGGAGTAGCTAAATTGTAACATTCCGGACGTAGACAATTGCATGGTTAGTGAAAGAGTTAATGTGCAATTGAATGTATGGTTAGTAGAAAAGAAAACGTATAATATAATGTTTTAAAGGGAGGAACACTAAAAGAATCGAATCAACACCCGAACAAAAGGATCCAAAGACTATATAGGTATGAGACTGTACAGCTGATGATGACTTATAAGAATTAATAGGTACTATTTATACTTACAAAATGCATCTACTTTTCGATAGTCCATAACAAAATAACTCCATAGTTAAGTGTGCTTGACTTGGAGCAATTATGAGATATGTGACCTCCTAGAAAGTTTTTTAAAAAATGTGAGTAAAGACAAAGCACACTGAAAAATCTTGTGTTAATGTGTGAGGACAATCATTGATTCTGAAAGTCCTCGGGAAACACACCATGGTGATTTGTTTGCAATCAACAATATATATTTTTGTAATTATGAATATTTAATAATTCTTATTTTTTGTACGAAATGTTAAATAATAATTATTTCAATATATGATATTTTCTGTGCTATATAAGTGCAAATAAACTTTGAAGAAACTAGTAAGAAGTTATATGCATAAAAGATAGCTCTCCACTTTTGGGAGTTATCATGCACAAAAAGCTCCAAGTAGTTCAACAAGTTATGAGTTATTGTATGGTTTTGGTTATGTGGAAGGACAATTACTTGATAAGTTAAGTATTATCTAAGAATTTTGTTAGTGATTGAGTCTTCCAAATTTTTCCAATAGAGTCAGTACATGGAGAATAATTTAGGTTGAGCATCTTAATAGCCTATAAATGTCTTTTAATGTTATTATTTCATTTGATAATTAAACATGTCCTACTAGACTTACAGTTACAGTTATACTTATCACATGCACGTAAATTAGTGACTAAAATTAAGTATAAGTTTTTTTATTTATTTTTATACAAATATTAACTAATTGTGATATATATATAAGGCTTTAATGTTTCTAAAGTGAATGTAGATAAGTTATCTATATTCGCTGCTAAAATGACGTCGTTTTGAGTTGAAAAATTAAAAAATTATAATGAAAAAGACTAACTTTGAAATAAATTATAATTACAAAAATATCTTAATTTTCGCCTCAAAACGATGTTGTTTTGGGCTCAATGTAGATAAGTTATCTACATTAACTGTAGAAAAAGCAAACTCATATATATATATAAACATCTTAAGTATACTTCAACTTTAATATATTTTTATCTCAAGATTGAGCCGAATAACTATCCCAATTTATTTTTACTAATTTCACTTGGAGCTAAGCACAAGTAATATTTATTGAGGCCCAATCACAATGAGATATCCCACCAAACTTTGTAAAATCTTGTGTGCTGAGTTTCTGCATAATCCAAGTAAAAATAAAATGCAATTAATATTAAAAAAAAAAAAACTAAATCAAGTACAGTAATAACTATCATAATAAAAATGTACACATCAAAACGTAATACAAATTATACAATGAAATTTCATTTTAAAAATGTACAAGGCAATATTAATTTCTTTACACCAATATAGATACAGTCTCGTAGTTTTTTATTACTCCTTTATTTTTTTCTTCTTTGATATTGTTCAAATAATAATGAAAAGGATTTACGAAACATATGAAGATTCCCTCTCCGTTCTATATATGTTTTACTTAGATCTCGCTTTTTCAATCTCTATTTACATTTATCCCAAATGAGTCTTTTAAGATTTGTACGTGCCCATTCACGTTTGATCACCTTAGCTAACCATCATGCTTTCAAATCTTCATTATCTCACTGTGTATTCAAATTACTCTTCTCCTCCTCAATTGTACCTTTGTGATATTTATTCAGGTATTCAACTCGTAAATCTCAAAACATTTTATTCACGTTTTTAATATTTTTTCGATTTTTTCAATTTTTGTAAATGCGTTCATTGGTATAGTTTTTTTTTTTCAATTTTATCACATGTGTACCTTAACATACTTGACATGAGTATTGTTTATCGTTGTTATCCTTATTCAACCAATATATTTCTAATCTGATTTCCTTATTTATTTTTCTCCTTACTGTGTTTTGATTTATTTAATTAATAAAATAAGATGTGAAAAGAAAGGATGAGATAGAAAGGAAAGAAAATAAATTTTGCTTGTTTAGAAGGTTAATAAAGAAATAAAACAAAATTCTAAACCTACAATTTTTCTCCCATTACAACCTAATTATGGGAGAAGCAAAATTTATGCCTCTAAGGAAAAATTGTTGGAATTGATCCTTGTTTTGTTTCCCTCCTATTTATTTTAAAATCTTAGACGAGAATTACTTTTCCTTTTTTTTCTCTTTTTTTCTTCTTAGTTCTTCTTGTATAATAGAAAAAGGAATGTTAACATTATTTTCTTTAGCATATTTTTCATAACACATTTTTTTATTATCATTTAAATTTTATGTTGATTTCAATGAATAAAAAATGAACATCAATTATTTAGTAGGATAAATATAAAATTCATATAATAATAAAATTTAGGTGAATTGACCCTTTTGCCCTTGTTAAATATAATTATCACTTTGCCCATCTTTTCAAACTATATGATACCCATACTCAATGCTTGTCAAGAGTCCATTCTCTTCACACAATATACATGTCTCGCCTAACTTAGACAACATACATAATATGTTGAATACAACTATAAAAGCATTTAGAATAGGGGAAGGATATTGTGACAATCAAGTTGTGTTACTACCAAGTGACTATCAATCAATCTCACCGTTAGATCGATTATGTTGATCCAACGGTTATATTTATTTCCACCTTAGCATTAAATATGGGAAATCATAACCATACAAAGGTGAAAATAAATATAAAGTATTAAATTTGAAAAATCATGACCATACAAAGATAGAAATAAATATAACCGTTGGATCAACATAATCGATCTAACGGTGAGATTGATTGGTAGTCACTTAGTAGTAACACAACTTAGTTGTCACAATATCCTTCCCCAAATATTAATAATAAGGATTTCATAATTTCATTGGAACAAATAAAATGATTTTGGAAAAATCGTCTCGTATATGGATTCAACAAACCTCGAATCAAAGTAATCGGGTAATGAATTAATTAGCGGGAAAAAAATCATTAAAATATATCATCAAGTCACGCAAAAATTTTTGATACCATATATTATGAACCTGACATAAAGGCTCACTCTCTAGAAGGCTCAAAAAGAGTTAACAGTTATGAGAGACATTAATAAAAGATTCCTTAATTATATTAATTTTAATGCGATAATAACAAATAGAGAATTGGACCCCAATATTCCTAAGAGACTGTTGTGCAATTTGAAATCAATTAAATCAATCACACAAATATGCAAGTGCACGTGTTATAAGTAATAAATGGATGTGTGAGTTCAGGATCATTCCCATAGAGATAATTTATAAAGTATGAGCTATTCAAGTAAAGAAATTAGGAAAAAAGATTGATTTTAATGATTGGATTTATAAAATAAAAGACAATTAAAACTAAGAAAACAGTAAACTAAATTCAAAGGTATTAAGGTGATAGATGAGATATAGGTCAGGTTCAATTTCCCTGATACAACAATACTGAAACGATGCTCTATCAATGCTTAGTAATCGAATACAAAGTATGCTGGGACTTTTGGCCAACCTAACATATATACCCAATAACTAATTCTCACATCTCTATGGCCAAATTAATTACAGAATTATTAAAGTTCAAGTTCAAAGGCTATGTGGTGTCTCTACCCACAACTTAATTAAGTTATTTTTCTTAACTAATTAATCCACACAATTCAACAAGGGTCTGGATTAGGAAACCTCTCGGCCCCAACCTCCTCAATATCATATATGTATCTCTCGACATGCATACATGAATAAGAATAAGCAAACTCGTTGAAAAACTAATTAAACATTTATACAAATAAAGTTTAGGCATCCATTACAGTGTTACAACATAGGTACTTTATCACCCAACCTAAGGAGCAATTTAGCTCATGAAGGAATTAAAGAAGGGAAATGATATACTTATCACCAAAAAAATTTACCACCTTTACAACCAACCTAATCACCGTTGATTTCCGTCAATCTAACAGTTATAATTTATTAATTTCAAATAAATTATAACCGTTAGATTGACGGAAATCAACGGTGATTAGGTTGGTTGTAAAGGTTATAAATACGATTATAAGATTTGACTGTTCGATATCAAATTGAGAATGCTTTTAAAGAATATAAAAAGAAAATAAAGACTAAATATACATACTGAATAACTTGCAAAAAAAATTATAATCAATAATCTATTGAGCATAACAACCTGCAATAAAGGAGAACGATAAATCTTCAAGTACACCAACATAGCATGGATGCACTACTATTTATCTAATTATTGTAATATTTTAATTTATACTTACATAAAAATTTCAAAAAGTTAAAAAAAATCTTTTTAAAGTGGTCACTAATGAAACCATATTCTATTTACCAATTTGTTTAAATAATTTATACAGGATCACACCATATAATGATTTTTTTTATTTAACATGTGTATATTTACTCGTTATCCAATTATGATTCAAAATAAATTAGTATTTCAATTTCTTAAAAAAAATTAAAAAGATTGAAAAGAATTAGAATTTTTTTGAAAATAATTAAGTCAAAAAATGTAATATTATTTTGTTGAACCATAGGTCATAAAGACTATAATATTGAAGTTTTGATGATAACAAAGCACCTACAATGAACCAACATAGCTCAATAAGGAAATACTCAATGAAAAGCATAGCAACAAGTCAAAAATGGTACTGAAAGACCAAAGCATAGTGCAGAGTTGACAATGATACTTAAATGTTCCAAGTCAAGCTAGAATTCAAAGCATTTCAAGTTTAAAAGAAGTACAATAAAACTCACAGATTGAAGAAAAAGCGAAGACCAAAGAAGACTTAGACTTATTGTTTACAATAGTTATTTTAAAGTCTTTAGAATTACTAGGAATGAGTTTATTATTGAGCTTTATCTTGGGAAATACATAGTTAGACTATAAACTCATATTAGTCACACATATACATTTTGATCATGCATACAAGGTTTACACACATCAAGAGTTATTATATAAATGTGAGACAAGATCATACATATCATAGAAGTCACTATAATTCATTTAGAAGTCACTGGAATTCATTTAGAGGTTTTAAATTTCGAAAAACCAGCAAGAAATGTTCATCTACATAAAAATAATTGAATACGTTTTGCAAAGTAATAGAATACTTTATGGGTTTGAAGAAGTAATCGATTACATGATGAATATCAATCGAATACTTTATATCTTTGAAGAAGTAATCTAATATTCCTCGAAAAGTAATCGATTACTCCCTGTTATAAGTGACTTAAAGCTTAAAAAATTCTATTTTTTAGATGTCCAACGACTATTAACTCAATTAAGCACTTATATAAAAATATTCTAAGGGTTTCTGAATAAGAATGAACACTGGAAAACGCAAGAACACATAGAATTCAGAATTGAACCCCTATTGGCCTATTTTTGCATATCTTAGAGGAAAAACTCAATTGCTCTCTCGTTTTTTAATCTTTTTATTGTACTGGATGTCGAGAGATTGTTCTACATCTGTTTGGCAAAAGTGAATTGCTATAATAGATTGGTGAGACAATTGGAGTGATCCTAAGGGCTTAGATTGAGTGTATCGTAGACTTGTAAAATTTCAGTTGTAAAAAGATTTTTTTCAAGTACCTGTTGGAAGCTCGATAATAGTGGAACGATCGACCTCGGTTTGGATGTAGCTCTCAAGTGGTTAGAGAGTGAACTGGGATATATCCCGGTGTGATTCTTCTTTACCCTTATCTCTTTGATTTTGATCAATTGATTTCATTTTTTATTCATTGTATATGTTGTTTTTAATCTGTTCAAGGGATAAGAATTGATAATTCTCAGTTTAATTTCGTTCTTGCATGATTTATTGGAAGAGGTTGCCATAAACATTGATTTATTCTCTTTTCCTATTTAATTTTGATTCCGCTGTTTAATATCTGAATTGGATGTTATCATATGGCTAAACATGTTTTAATTATATTTTTGGGTTAAGAAAAGAGTAATATTTTGGGAATTTTATTTTGGGTTAAGGTTGTTGAAAAAGGGTTGTGTTTTTAATTGTTTCTTGCAAAAGAAGTAACACACAATTCACCCTCCTCTTGTGTAATTGTTTAGCGATATTTTTTTTATATTTAAATTATATTAACATTTTTATTATAACATAATTTTAATTTAAAGTAAGCTAAAATTTACACATTCACGCGTGTGCACGTGCACGTGCACATACACAATTTTTTTTTTTTAGAATTAATCCAGGACAGAGCACATGGCTGAGCTTCTAACCTCAAGCGACGAGTTTAAAGTTCGGCTATGAGCAAAAACCGATAAGTTGTAGAAAAGTTAGAATACGACACTTGGCTTAGAACACGAAGATCAAACCATTTATAAATATCACATTATGTTCATCCTTTTGGCCCGAACTCCTAAACCACCGGGCTGGGGGACAAATAAGTTATTTCTCGGAATCAACTCTCGATGATGAAATAAATAGGGCCGATATAGTAGCATTATTGGCTGAACTCAAATTAAAAAGATGATGTCATAGCGCAGCCAGAAGCAGGCAATGAAAACATGGATACCCGACCAGTCCAAGGCTCCAAGTTATAACGCAAAATCCAATTTGAGATCCTAAAGCCAGTTCCATGGTTACAGATACAACATAATATACACCCTTGTAGCTCGGACACTCAGACCAACCGTTATGGATCCATATAAAGGGGCTCTTATTCTAGAAGGCCCAGTGAAGGGAAACACAAAGTGGAGACTAATACAAACAAAGGAAGGCATCAGTCAATGATGCTAATCATAATACAACTCCAACGAACTTGTACATAGGACCTCATAGGAGTTACTCAAAATCTAGAATTTTAGTACCTACGGATAAACTATATAAATAAGAGGTAAAACCTGCAGGTATGACTATGAGGACTCATCTCTCTCTGCTGTTATGGTGTCACTGCATACACACCATCTCCTTTGGCTAACGTCGTTATTATCAATGCACAATGATATGTTAAAGTCAAAGGTATTTAATCCGTAGATATTTAAGAGAGCCTCTAGATTCAAGATCACTACACTAATTTCTTGACTAGACATTTCAGTCCCTGACACAGAATATTTATAAAATTTTATATGTCAACTAATAACTTATTTTTTTTAAAAGTAAAATAATTTCTCATGCTTTAAATTGAATTCCCCAATAAAGAACTATTAATTATCCATTTTTTTCTTTCCCAACAAGTCATTACTTCGAAAACTAGTACTAACAGTTAAAATTTGGCTAAATTTTAGGAGGAAACATTTTACATTATGCGTGAAAATTTCACGTTCAGTTGAAATTTCGAGAGAGGGAACTTCCAAACTAACGCCAGAAATGAAAATAAAAAAATAGAGGGAATCCAAGAAAAAGAGCCAATTTAAAATCCGGAGACAAGAGCGTGCCTAAAGCTTACAATTGAAGAAGATAAATTCGCTCCCTCCTGATACCTGGTAGCGGCAAAAATTTGAATTCACCCTAAGCACCTTATATTCACAGTCTTAAAATACCTTTGCCTTGTCTTTCTTTTCCACATCTTACTGTCTTAATCTCCAATGGCTCATCAAGAAAACTGCACGCGCCCTCAGCGCGAAGCCAAGAAAAGAGCTGCAGCTGCAATTTCCGAACTTCAGGGTGCTGCCAAGAAGAAAAGGGTCGCGTTAGGGGACCTCACCAACTTGTCCAATGATGTTGTTGCCCCTATTCAGAACGAGAAAAAGAGAAATGTCGGAAAACCAAAGCCAACGGCGGCGCCGGCGGCGAAGCCGATGCCGGAAAAGTCGGATGATCCCCAAATGTGCGAGCCTTATGTTTCTGATATTTACGAGTACCTTCGCAAGTTGGAGGTATATGCAATGTCACAATTAGGGTTTTAGTTTTAGTTCCGAAATTGGGGCTTTCCGTTTAAAACTGTTGCAATGGTTGTCGTTTTGCAAATAACATGAAATTTTTGGGTTATTTATTTGTTTTGTGTGATTCAGGTGGAGCCTAGTAAAAGACCGTTGCCTGATTATGTTCAGAAAGTTCAGAAGGACATTAATGCTAACATGAGGGGTGTTCTGGTGGATTGGTTGGTTGAGGTTGCTGAAGAATACAAGCTTGTTTCCGACACACTTTATTTATCTGTTTCTTATATCGATAGGTTTCTCTCTTCGAATTCTCTTTCTAAACAGAAGTTGCAATTACTTGGGGTCTCTTCCATGCGGATTGCTTCGTGAGTTTCCAAACACTTTCAACTTCTTGAAATCTGGATATGTATTTTTAATTTTATTTTATTGATTTCGTTAAAGTTGTTTTTGTTAATAGAAAATACGAGGAGATCAAGCCACCTGAAGTGGAGGACTTCTGTTACATCACGGACAACACATACTCCAAGGAAGAGGTGATTCTTGTGATTCATTACATTTGCATGCTGCTTCTTCATATCTCGCTTAGCTTTGGTCTTTTGCTAATTTTGGGTAACTTTGGTTTCTTCTGTAACAAAGGTTCTGGCAATGGAAGCTGATATATTGAAGTCCTTGAAATTTGAAATGGGCGGTCCTACAGTTAAGACATTTCTAAGGTACGCGTGCTTTATTAATTCTATCTTTGTTGTAATTGAATCTTCTTGTTTTTAGTTATGTTTCTTCTTGGCATGTTTGGCTCACTGTGCAGTGTATCCTTTACCTTTTTTTGCAGGAGATTCTCTAGAGTTGCTCAACAGAGTGGTGATGTAAGTTAATTCTTGTTTTGACCTATATTGTTATAAACTATTTGAATGCTTGAAAGTGATTTTAATCGCAGTAGTTTTCTCTATATTAGTGAAGTTACCAAATAAGATTTTTGCCGTAGGAAACTCTATCCCCAACTGTTATGTCCTATACACACAGTTACACATTGACAGATTTTTATTTTGTGGGTGTGCTGGATATGTGAAGTTCATTATTTGACTATCATTCTTGTACTGTGGTGCAGATTTTGGAGCTGCATTTTGAGTTCCTTAGCTACTATCTGGCCGATCTTAGTTTGTTGGATTATAATTGTGTGAAGTTCTTGCCTTCTTTGGTAGCTGCGTCTGTTGTCTTTCTAGCAAGATTTATCTTAAACCCTAAGACACATCCTTGGGTAATGATTTATTTTTATAGATGTGCATTCTATATTCAATGTGGGTGCTATTACTAAATTATGCAGTATTTATTTGCAGAATTCAGCACTCTATCAGCTCACTAGATATAGACCTGGTGATCTTAAGGAATGTGTCCTTAACATACATGACTTGTACCTCAGTAGGAGAGGAGGCTCTTTGCAAGCTGTGAGAGAGAAATACAAGCAGCATAAGGTGATATTCCTGCATACTTTTTTTCTACATTTTATTATTTAACAAATGTAATCTTCCTTAGGAAAAATTGAATTATCAATTTCATTCCACTTGTGACATTGGAAAGTTATGCTGATTCTAGTTGCGTTGGTTGTTTTGGAAACAGTTCAAATGCGTGGCAACAACACCCTATCCTCTAGAGATACCTCTCTCCTTTTTTGAATTTAGAGGGACGGGTCATTAAGCAATTGTGACTTGGCTTTCTCGCTGTGGCTTTGGTTTTAATTATTGGCAGAGGCATGAGAAAAGGGTTTCCTAACACTAGAAGATGAAAGTTAGTTAGAGTTGCTGATGTTGATTGAGGTGCTTGCCATGAAATGCTATAGCATTTGATGCATCAATGCTGGTCTCACTGATGAGTAAATCCTATAAGTAGGGAATTAGGTTTTCTTGTTTAACAATCTAAAGTTAGTTTTTGGAAAAGCTCCATGAAGGAATTCTGATTTCCTTTTATGTATAGGGAAGTAGAATACGTTTTCATCTTTGTTGTTCCGTATTTCCATTGTACGATGTCCAAGCTCGATTGGTTACTTCAATACTACAGTATGGTCTGGGTTTGTCTGTTGTCTCAACAAATGTCATTGATAGAATATTACCTTTCATTTGTACTTCGATTTTTTTTTTCATTTATCACATCTCAGTTAAAGGTCTTTGTAAACATTTGAAGGAAAAAAATTAAATCCATGACACAAATTTTGTTACATGTACTGATCAATTGCCTATGTTGCACAACCAATTCATGTTTCATTATGGCAAAATATTTAAAAGGAGTATTTGTTAAACTGGGTACGCTCTAGAAGGCATCGGAAGCTAGAGTCGACATCACCGTAGAGAATTTTTCATAAAAATTGTGCACGAGTATGTGCCTGCAAGTTATATATCTGTCAATGTCTTTCATTAATTTGTATTTAAGTATTTTATATATATTTGTACGAGTATTGTATTTTTTGGTTAAAAGAAGTTTAGGAAGAGTAGTTTTTTTCATTGAGGTCAAGGCAATGCTACATCTTTCAACATAGTTACTATGATAGTCTATTCTTATTAAAGCGCAAGCTTTACCCTTCTCCTTACAGTCTAGCAAGCAGCTTCACCCCTATATCTAATCAAAAGGGGCGTAAGCGCTTCACTCGCTAGGGGATGAGATTCATTCACTTGCATTCCTTCTAGCACTATTGTTGGCGCATTTGGCAATTTGCACAATTGTCCATTGTAAAAACGATTCTGAGTCATGTAGACTGGAGTTGATAGTTGAAAAAGCGAAAAACTAAAAATAACTTATTACGAAAGGCAATATGCATGTCAGGGAGTCAACACTAGATTGGACAACAAATTTTGTTAGTTGCTGATGAATAATAAATAAAATTTGCAATATTTTTTTATAAAATAATTTTATGTCGTTAGCTGAATAGCTGTTTGATAATCAGTGCACAGAACTAAATTTTTGTAATATTGATGAATAGAGTAAAAGAAAATTTTTTATTACGTCTTTTGCATTTTGCATTGTTTAATGTTTGATAAAACTACGGTAGTAAAGAAATAGAATTATTTTTGTGTAACTTGATTTGCTGGAAAACAAAACATTTAAAGATTTGCTGTAAAACAAGGGACAATCTTTTTTTTAAATAACTTATTAGGAAAAATGATATCTAAGTTTCTCAGTGAGTCCAGTCCGCACAATAATTTCTCCGTGGACGTAACGAGTGAGATGCAAAAACAAATGGAGCAAAATAATTTGGAGAAAGTTGACAAATATTTTTGACAAATTTTTACAAATTATATTATCTTTTTTTCGGAAAAACATAGTGAAACCTAGTGTTCTCCCGGGAGAAGATAGTGTAGTTTGTAAGAATTTGTAAATATAATCTGTCCAAAATAATTTACCTCTAGAATATGAAATTGTTTTTCAGAAGGTAGAAAGTTTTATCATGTGGCGCGGACATAATTTTAAGGGTTATATTTATCTCATTTTGCATGAGATAACTAAATTTTCTACACACATAAAAGATGAGTAGATCCCACTTTTTTTTTTCTCTTTCCTCTTACCTATGTGTCCCACTTGCAATTCTGTTTCTACAACATAAGATAACTATTTTTCTACAACATAAGAAGATTATTTTCCATTGATTAAATATGCAAACTTTATGGTTTTTGTAAATGGCCCACCTAATAGATAAACGTGCTTGCAAATATTGCTAATATAAAATTCATTTTCATCAAATACTGATAGCTCAGTTAGAGTCAGAAAAATAAGCAAGTGGGGTACTGTTATGGACCTGTATAAAGGGCCCATTGAATGACAGGCTCAATAAGGAGCAATCCAAGATTCAAATCAAGTATAATTAAGGATAGTATCCATCAAGGATACTAATCCTAATACGACAGCGTAGCATACAGGCCTGGGCCCTCATCAGAGGTACTAAAGTCCACATCATACTACCCACAAGTAACCTCTATAAATAAAAGGTAAACCCTAAAGGTACGTTACGCTCTCTCTCTCTCTTACTGTTATGCTGTCACTGTGCGCGCACACACCCTATTGGCGAAAGCTGTTATTAGTTCGTTATGCACAGTGATCTGCTTGGCTCATGGGTATCTCCTTCATAGATACCTTGGAGAAGGCACTAGATCCAAGATCGATACACCAGTCCATTGGGCTGGACATCTCTGTCTCTAAGACAGAACATTGGCGCCGTCTGTGAGGAATTCTTCTTTGAATTTGACATTCCCACCATTCTAACTGAAGATGGAAGTCTGAACAAGGAGTAATAGCAACCAACCACACCCTCAGAACCAGCCGCTGGATCCAGTTCTGGAAGAGGTGAATCGACCTCAAAACCAGCCTGATAATGAGATAGATTACGATCATGTTTATGTCAGCGAGGATGTATCAGAAACAACCTCCACCCCAGCACCCCGCGATCGAGTTGCGGCTCCAGCTTTGAATAATCCTCCCCAACATCCTGGGGATACTGTTGCTGCTTGCGTTGCCCAACCTGCGGATCCTGATTCTAGATTTGCTCAAAATACGGTCGCTGTAATTTTACGGCGAATAGAGGAGATGGAGAATCATAACAACCTCCAGCGGCAAGATTTCCAGAGAATGCAGGAAGAAAATACCAGGAGAATGTAGGATTTGGAGCAGCACTTAATGGGGATGACTGGGCCTGGAGTGAGAGAGGCCCCAGGCCAAGATGCTAATGGCTCAGAAGGGAACCACAACCAGGATCATCAAAATCAGGTTAATCAGGTAGAAAACCAAGGAAGGCCTAATCTGTGAGTCACATCGGGTACAAACCCGAGAAACAATGGAAGACCCAATCTTGGGAGCACGTTGGGTCTGAACCCGGAGAACATTGGAATGGGTGATCAGAATGCTGCTGTGCAAACTTTGACCCAGAATGCTTCAGCAGGAGCGAATGGCCAGAGAAACCGGGATGGTACACACCCCAACCAAAATGCTAAGAGGACGTGTGGAACCCGGTGGGTACAAGAGGAAATACAGTATGAGGCACTATAATAACAGCCCCTTCACTGGCGAGATACTGAATGCTCCTTTCCCGGAGGTGCCGAGTTTACAAGAAAATGTCCACGTACATCTCATTGTGGCTGGCTTGGTTGGAGCATCAAGACTAGCCAAGTCGGTCTATAAAGACCCAGTGAGGACGTTGGAGGAATTCAGGACTCGTTCAAAGAAATACCTAGAACTCGAACAAATGGAGATAGCAAATGCGCAATCTGAGGATGGTAAAAGAATGAGCCCAAGAAGGAGGAGCCCGACCCCGAGGATTAAGGAGCGAACTGGTAATAAAAAGAAAGACTCTAGAAGCAGAATCCTGGATGATAGAGACCGAGTGGGAAGGTATGAAAAGTATACACCGTTGAATGCCTCACGCTCTCAAATTTGGAGGGAAGTGGCAATAACAGAGATGAAGAAAATAGATAGACCTCGACCCATATTAGATAGAGGAGGTTTGGATAAGTCTAAGTATTGCTCCTTCCATGATGGATTGAGTCACAACACTGATCAATGTTGGGATCTCAGAGATGCTGTGGAGAAATTTGTTAGAGAGGGGAAACTACGCCAGTATGTGATCAAAACTCAGGGTGCCAAAAACAACAAAAGAAAGTCTGAAAACCGGAAGAGGACCAAGAGTCTGGTATCTGAGAAGAAAAAGAAAGAGGAAAGGAACCAGAAAGATGATTCCAATAATGATGAATTCCCAGAATTCGAATTTGATTGTAGCGTAATTAGTGGAGCTCTGGGAGGAGGAGGAGACACTGTAATTGCTAGGCGAAAGTATCTAAAAAAATGCTTTCGATCCGGGATCGTCCTAAATTCAAGGAGGAACCCAGCAAACCAGACCCTCCTATGCTCTCTTTCACAAAGGAAGATATACAAGGTGTTTCGCCCAGGCATGTAGACGGGCTGATCGTCACCGGAACCCTGGTGAATTGACAGGTTAAAAAGATCTTCATAGATGCAGGAAGCAGTGCCGACATTATACTATGGGGTGCCTTAAAAAAGATGAACCTTGATAAGGAGGACCTAAAACCCTGCAAGACAACCTTGATAGCTTTTAATGGAGAAAATACACATTCTAAAGGCTATATAGATCTCAGGTTGACCCTGAGAACGGAGGAAGCGTTCAAATCAGAACGAGTGAGATTCATAGTGGCTGACTTCCCGTCAGAATTCAATATCATTCTGGGGAGACCAACCATACACAAATGGGACATGCTGGTCTTCACAAAGCATCAAAAGATATAGATGGTAAGCAGCAAGAATGAAATCATTACCATCTGTGGTGATAAAAAATAATCCAGAGAATGCTACTTTGAAACTGTCAAAGGTAATGAAGGCGGACATTTGAGCCCAACCCGGTTACGTCCGGGGGATAAAGCCGGCAAGAAGGCAATTCCTCATCATTCAGGAAAATCCGTCAATGTGGTTGAGCAGGATATGAGAGGAGAAGTGGTCCCCAGGCCAGAACCAGATGGTGAATTGGAAGACCTTGTACTGGGAAAAGAACCTGGTCAATTTACCCGAATTGGTAAGACCATAGATCTCCACATCAAGGAAGAATTGGTCGGGTTTCTCAAAAGCAACACGGACGTCTTTGCATGGAAGTCATCAGAGATTCCCGGCATAGATCCAACCTTTTGCTGTCATAAGTTGGCGGTTTATCCCGGATTAGCACCAGTTTCGAAGAAGAAAAGGAAGCTGGGGCCAGAAAGAAAACAAGTTCTGGAGGAACATGTGAAGGAGTTGCTGGAAGCCGGGTTTATTCGTGAAATACAATATACGTCTTGGCTTGCTAACGTCGTCCTGGTGAAAATATCCAACAGAAAATGGAGAGTCTGCACTAATTACACGGATCTAAATAAAGTATGCCCGAAGGATTCTTACTCTGTGCCCAACATCGATCAGCTAGTAGATAACTCAGCTGAATTCCAACTGCTATCCTTCATGGATGCTTATTCAGGTTATAACCAGATCCTAATGTATCCTGAAGATCAAGAGAAAACTTCCTTTATTGCTGAAAAAGGCCAATTACTGTTACAACGTGATGCCTTTTGGGCTCAAAAACTCTGGAGCTACGTACCAGAGGATGATGAACAGGGTA